CCTCTGCTGGCCAATTTGGTTCTGATTGGTCAGTTTCTATGCCAGTCAGCATCAAAAGCTCCGCCTCCTAGGCAGCCATTGGCTCCTCACAGTTGACCCAGATTTGGTTCTGATTGATCAGTTTCTATGCCAATCAGTGTCAAAAGCTCCGTCTCCTAGGCAGCCATTGGCTCCTTACAGTCACCCAGATTTGGTTCTGATTGGTCAGTTTCTATGCCAGTCAGTGTCTCTGGGCCTATCAATGGGGCCTGATCAGAAAGGCGGGGCTGATCAGCAGCCCAGGTGGAGGCCTGGAGAGAAATGGAGGTGCGGCTGTTGGCCAGGCTGGGAGAGAAAAAGAGGCAAGTTCTGATCAACAGCTGCCACAGAGGCTATGAATCAGACTCTGCCTCTCTCTCTGCAGGCCTCTCTCTGGGCCTGATCTGCAGCCCCGTAGGCAGTCAGTGCTGGGATGGGTCGCCAACAGCAGCCATGGCAACCCAGCACTGACTTCCAGTCTGCTCGAGCCTTCGGTCGTTAGGACCCTGGCTCTTTATTATATAGATTATTATATAGATACTAGAGGCCCGATGCACGAAATTCGTGCAAGGGGCTCAGCCCCCACCACTTCAATGGCTGCCTCTGCCTCAGCCCCTGCCTGCTGTGGCGGCTGCCTCTGCCTCGGCTTCATCCGGAAGGTTGTCCAGTCTAATTAGCATATTACGCTTTTATTATTATAGATATTTTTATTGACTTCACATAGAAGGGAGATAGAGAGATAGAAACATCAATGATAGAGTGAATCATTGATGCCTCCTGCACACTTCACACTGGGGATCGAGCCCGCAACCAGGCATGTGCCCTTGACTGGAATCGAACCCGGAACCCTTCGGTGGCAGATGCTCTATCCACTGAGCCAAACCAGCTAGGAGGTCATGTCTCTTTCCATCACCATTTATTCTCCCTTTACCCTTTCCTGCCTCCCCCCACCCCTATTTAAACCTGTGCCACTTTTAGACCAAATATGTCTCTTGTGACTTTTCAGAATTCTCATTTATTTATAAAGCCATAGGTCCTCTAAAAGTTGTCTTAGCACTTCCATTCTTCCTGCCATTGTTTTTTCTTGTTACTCTGAAATACATCTAGCTCTTTTTTAAAAAATTTATTTTTTTGGGGGGGGGAGGGGGATGAGAGAGAGAAAAAAAAAGATCAATGTGAGAGAGATACTTCCATTGCATGCCTCCCAAACATGCTCCAACCAACTGGGGCTGGGGATCGAACCTGCAACTCAGGGTTTGCTTTATTACTTTGCCTTTGAAGTTCAGAGAAGGTACTGTGGAGCTGCGTCTCAGACCTCTGAGGAGGGGAACACTGCATGGCTGGCACTGGTATCTCAGAAGAATACCTGTGAAGGTGGGATCAGTCTTTGAAGAGGCAATTCTAGCCAACTGGCTGATCATAGTGTCTGAAGATGTAGGGGGCGTGTTAATGCTGTTTCTGGGAGTTCTGGAAAACTGCAAACTGATATTAATTGATGTTACTGGAACAGACTGCTTCTTTAAGGTGAACTGTTGCTGGGGTGACTGGATAATAAGCAAAAAGGAAAGGAGCACGTGTTTTCCTCCTACAGCTTTCCAGTCTTCCTAAAAGAGAGCCAGCTGTCCAAGAAGAAATGTACTTTGCAAGACTTAACCTTAGCATCACAAAATAGAGTATAGAAGGCTGGTTGGAAGCTGAGGGGTGGTTTAATCAGCATTTCTTTAAAGCTCATTCAGAGGTTCAAAAGACCACATGTTGTAGAGATTAAGAATAATACTTTTGGGCTCCTACAATTCATTATCACTATTGACTAGGTGACAGTGATGTCTGGTAGCACTGACTTGATCATTTGTATTGTAAGTGCAGTAGGAGCATGGAATGTTCATGAAGCTGGGAAGATGATGTAGCATGATAATTAGATAGAGGAGATTTAAAAAAATCTCTTCTACATAGTAGAGACTGGATTGAAGACAGTACATGACTAATGCAGGTAGATTAGTTAGGAGACAATTATACTGATCTGGAAGAGGTGAGGATATTTTCGACAGTGTTCTCAAGATGTGGTCCATGTACCATTTGACTTGAAAATTTGTTAGAAAAGTAATTCTTTGGCCCACCCCAGAGTCAAAAACTCTGCAGATGGGATATAGCTACTGTTTTAACAAACCCTCCAGGGTATTCTGAGACTTTCTTTGAGAACCATTTCTTTAGGACCAATAGGCTCCAGAGACAATAATAGGCCATAAGGTTTATACAGGACTTGTAAGTTGGTTGGGTATGGCTTGCATGGGTGAAAAGCTTCATTAGAGGGACTAATGAAAAACATTTTAATATTGCAGATTAACACATTTATTTATCTAGTTTTATTTGGATAAATTATGCTTAATCTTGAGTAATGAACACATAAGGTTAGGCATTCTCAGAGTGTTTTTAGACATTCTGAGAGTGTTTTTCTGAGATTGGCCTAGTTTTATTTATTTATTTTTAATCCTCACCCAAGGATATTTTTCCATTGATATTTTAGAGAAAGTGGGAGTGGGAGAGACAGAGAGAGAGAAACATTGTTGTGAGAGAGACACATTGATTGGTTGCCTCCCCCATGAGGATCGAGCCTGCAACCGAGGTACATGCCCTTGACCGGAATCAAAACCGGGACCCTTCAGTCCACAGGCCCACGCTCTATCCACTGAGCCAAACTGGCTAGGGCTCTTTATATATATTGATTTCAGAGAGGAAGGGAGAAGAAGAGAGAGATAGAAACATCAGTGATGAGAGAGAATCATTGGTCGGTTGCCTCCTGCACATTCCCTGCTAGAGATTGAACCTGCAACCTGGGCATGTGCCCTGACCATGAATCGAATCCTGACTTCCTGGTTCATGGGTCGACGCTCAACCACTGAGCCACACCGGCTGGGCTGGCCTAGTTTTCTTGAGGTCAGAATTTACCTTGTCTCTCACAGCTCGTGAAGTGTGTCTTGTTTGTGGTTCACATCCAGGACAATCTGACTCTTTGAGAGTTACTTTTGTACACACCAAGAAGTCGACTGACTTTATCAAAGTAAGAGATAATTGGTTTTGAGTTTCTTCTGTATTTTTAACTACCAGTAAACTGGTATTTTTAACTAAAGCATGTGGATTTAGGTTTTTTTAACTTTCAAAACATAGTCACGCACCACATAACAACGTTTCAGTCAATGACAGACCACGAATACGTCATTGGTATACCATATAGCTTAGGTGTGTAGCAGGCAGTATCATTTAGTTTTGTATAAGTACATTCTGATGTTCCCATATGATGAAATCTCCTAAGGAGCATTTCTTAGAATGTATCCCTGTTGTTAAGCAGTACCTGACTGTATAAAATAGCAATATCATATCAGAAACTTTTATTTTTTAGTGGTATATTTTCCAAGGGATTTTTTAATGGAAAGTGATTAGTATTAGAAGGATACTTTTCGCCCTAGCTGGTTTGGCTCAGTGGCTAGAGCAGCCGTGGGCAAACTACGGCCCGCGGGCGGGATCCGGCCCGTTTGAATGAATAAAACTAAAAAAAAAAAAAGACCGTACCCTTTTATGTAATGATGTTTACTTTGAATTTATATTAGTTCACACAAACACTCCATCCATGCTTTTGTTCCGGCCCTCCGGTCCAGTTTAAGAACCCATTGTGGCCCTCGAGTCAAAAAGTTTGCCCACCCCTGGGCTAGAGCGTCAGAGTTCGTTGCACAAAAAAAAAAAAAGAGACATGTCTTTGAGTGGTGAACACACTACAGATGATGTATTATAGAATTGTATACCTTAAACCTACATAATTTTATCAATGTAACCCAATAAATTCAATTTATGAATGAATGAATGAAGTGGTACAGGTTTACAGGACAGGTCAGGTTTTCAGGAAAGTAAAGGGTTTATAGGACAGCTCAGCAGACATAGTATTAAAGAAAAGGCAGACTGATAAAAATGTTAATCACATTAAATCTTTAAAATTGTGGAAAATGAATTTTATGAATTATACTTATGCTGTACCTAACTATATTTAATGACACCCCCGTTATGGCATAGTAAAATTAGCAGGACATTTTAACTATTTGCAGAGTAGAATGAAATTTGAAGACAGCCCTACCTCGTTTGGCTCAGTGGATAGAGCATCAGCCTGAGGACTGAAGAGTCCCGGGTTTAATTCTGGTTAAGGGCACATGCCCAGGTTGCAGGCTCCATCCCCAGTAGGTAGTTTGCAGGAGGCAGCCGATCAATGATGCTTTCTCATCACTGATGTTTCTATCTCTCTCTCCTCCCTTCTTCTCTTAAATCAATAAAAATATATTTTAAAAAAAGAAATTTAAAGACAGATGTATTATTCGAGAAATTAGTGAGAGGAGAATCTGGATTAAAGATTCAGTCTTTGCTGAAAGGAACACATGAATGTTTTCTTTGTACAGTGGCAAAAAAGAAAACTTTTGGCAGATGAGACAGAAGATGAAGCTCTGATGTGGAATGTGAACTCTAAATCAATCTATGGTTCCATCAGAAGTTGGAACTACATTTATCTGATTTATTTACCAAATTAACAGTAGATAAACTAAAATACTGTACAGAGGAATTCGTTGCATAACACATCACTGTTTCTAATATTCAAAAGATTCCTGAGAATATATAAAAACTGCTGTCTACCTTCACAAGTTTTAGTTTTAGATAAGATTACCATTTTAATACAATTTAGTTTAATTACATGTTGCAAAGAACATTGGAAAAGCCAGTTTTCAGAGTTTTCTTCCAATTGATTAAAGCCAAGTGATGGAATCAAAACTTTAAATTCTATTTACAGGTAAAGAAATTATTTTTTCACCGTTAAAAGTTAACATATAATTACTTTTTAAAATATTACTTAATATTAGTCTTATGGAGTCACTCTAGTCATAGAATAACACTAATACTGACTTAACATTTTTAAATAATGAAATGAAATTATTTTTAAAATTCACCTGTTGATGGAGAAATACAATAATCATCTTCTACAGACTGGCCATAGAGATCATCATCTTCAAAATCTAAAATAAAAACACAAGAGATAAATTCATTACAAGTTCTTTATATATTCTTAGTTATTAACAAGAAAGCATCTGGATTCTTTCCAAAAGAAATTAAATTGTTCATCAAAATTAAAGGAACTTGGATTGTCCACTTTTCCTAAAAATTTTACCTACAAAATAGGTATTTACTGACTTTCTGTATTTATACACTTACTAGAGGCCCACTGCACAAAATTCGTGCAAGAGTAGGCCTTCCTTCCCCCAGCTGCTGGCACTGGCTTCCCTCAGGCACCCGGGACCAGGGCTTCCCTCTGGCCCCAGCTTCGTCCGGAAGGATGTCCTAAATGACGTCCGGTCTAATTAGCACATTATGCTTTTATTATTATAGATAGAAACATGGTTCTTCAGTTTTTAAGATAATTGGGTCCAATTTTTCACCTCATGTGATCAAAAAGTAATAATCCCACAGACCACATACTTAAATTCTTTCCAGAGTTGACAAATATCCAAATATCCAAAATGAAAACCACCCATTTTTTTTACCAAATGCTCTCTAAAAACAAAGCATTTATTTTTCATACAACTTTATGCGTGGCCCATAATTGTCCACTGCATAGAGATGTTGTGCTTGTCCTAAACTAATTTTAATTTTACTATCGGTCCCCAAAGCACAGGGTATACAATCAGACCAAGAAAGCAATTTTTCTTCATGTAGAACGAGGTAATCTATGAAAACCAGCTTATCCTAAACTCCCTCAAAATCACTCTGCTCGGGCTTATTGGCCTTTTTTCTACTGACTAGAATATGTTTTTTAACCAAATTTTCCTAAGGCTGTTCCTCCTCTTGGTTAAGGTTCCCATTCAAAGCTCACCTAATTGCATATGTCCTCCCTGACCACTCTGAGTAAAAA